CGCTTATATTCAGCAGGTGTAGCCCGCCTCGTGACTGCTTCGATGCGTCGTGCATGGATCCCCAGGGTACTGTAGAGTGTCTCGCCTCCAAACTTCGGTATAGTCTCTGCACGGTGCCTTCGGATCCTCGCCGCTACCAAGATCACCATCGGTTGCTTCACTTCTCTATTTTACGTTCGCTTGGTTATCGTGGTTGTATTGATTAGAGCTCGTGATCCAAATACAGTAACTGGGAGGACAAAGAGATGCGCCACAAACTCATCTGCAACCCAGCTCCGCTGCGCCCGTCTGTGTGCCAAGCTTCCGGCGGCTGTAATTAATAACATACTACGCCAGATTGGGTCACGGTAGGCCGATTGAAGATTAAGGTTGGTTCTGGCCATGATTGGCTACCGTTGGGGTAGCACGATTGGCACACATGGTCGGACTATTGCTCATCCAGCCGAGGTCTGTCGAGGAGAAGGAAGAAGGCCAGTACCTCTTCCCCATTGGATATTGCGTCCAAAGGGCGCAGGAGACAAAGCCTCGACTGCAGGTGAGTGGCACCAGGTGTCCTGGCCTTCTTCCCCTTCCTCTTGCATCCCAGTGTCCTCCCAGGACATTCATAGAGACTCCAGCTTGCAAGAACCCAGGCGACACGTGGACAGGCAGAAGATGGGCCCCGCACGGCCCAGAGGAGACGTGTCGTTTTGCTATCTTGCTCCGTGTGGGGATATGCATTCGTCGGACGACGAAGTCAGTAGCTAAGACGCTCTTGCGGGAGTTGTCATCGTGAAGGCAGATGGGCGCGCCTTTCTGCTGATCTCGTGGACGGAATGGCTGGGCCGTCAGACAGAAGAATCGTGAAATAAAGCCCGTCCGCCCAGGAGATGTAACGCTTCTCCCAGGAAATGGTAACGAAAGGCTCTATAGTTTGACGCGGGCCAGCAGTAGAAGGTGAGGGCAAGGTGATTTTCGACGGGGGTAAAACAGCCTCAAGATGGGCGTGCCCTCAGCCTCAAAAAAGAGCTGTATCTTGAAGTGCACGGATACGAACCGATAGGATGGTTTGCTTCCACCATATTACATGTGGGTGCACATACCGCGCGCGTTGGCTATACAACATATGTAATGCGTATAACAATGTACATGTATACACACATAATTTTAATTTGTACATGTGTATATATATACTCTATTATATCATACATACAATATCTATGTGCATATATATATATGTAAATATGTATGGCAATAGAGTACGGCGTTGTATACAACCAGAGGGCATGTCTTCGAACATACCCACCGTAGCCACACTGCGTGCAGTGTGTGAATTGCGTTTATCTGGGCTACCCCTATGCAGCAGGGAGGGGGTCTAGATGTAGTTTGCCTTTTTCGTCGGCATCATCGCCCAAACACGAGTAGAGCGTTAAAGGTGGTTTTCCCAAATTGGCAGCTGACAGATGCTCTTGGTTCAAACGCTGGCTTTCACTTATTTGGTTATTATGGATTCCCACCGTCTTGGTGTCTCATTTCTACATGTTGTTGTCTTCTTCTCCCACCACAAAGCTCGAGATCAGGCGCGTCCTCAATTGCCCGTGCTTCGAAATGGTCGACTTGGCTTGGGCGGCGAGCGTGCAGAATCGAGCTCGGGAAACTTGTGTCCAGAACCGCCCCCACTACTCATCGCCATGATTCGATAGCAGCACAACGTACAAGACCGTGTGCGAAAGGCAACGTCGGACAGCACGGCACAATGGGTTGTGATGTCTTTGCGGCGCAATGGAAGGAGCGTGCGCGACCCAGCGATATTACCAGGTTAGTTGCGAATTTATTTTCGAAAAGAAGCATATTGGCTAAGGATGGCGCAGGAACTGATGGTAGAACGCGGCCAATCATGATGGATGGTGGTGTGATCATGCATGCAGATTCCCATGAGTGTACGCAGTGCATCGGTTAGCTCTTTCCGCTTCCAGCTTACCCCTTAGCCCGCACCCGTTGTTCATTGCTTCGAGTTCTTGCTGCAGATTATCTGCTATTGTTTTTTTGGTTGTGCCTCGGGCTCCTCGGCTACCTCTCTTTAGCCATGCTCGATGCCATGTGCCAATGCTGTCTTGTTTCTTTGTCCTTTCTCTTTGCTCAGTAACCTTCAATTGTCTCTCCTTGCTCCAGACTCCTGACCCCTCGGGTGTTGCTCTGCCCCGTTCTGGAGAGGACGCGGAACAGGATGGGGAGGAGTGGCAGGCGCAGAGGCCGCGGCGGAATCTGCGGTGAAGGCGGGCAGCAGCACAGGGATGAGGATTCGGATAACACCTCCAGGTCCCAACGGGCAACGTTTGGACCATCAAGACGGCAAGCGGTCTGTACCACAAGGCACGCGGTGCCTCCAACTGTGTCTTGCTACTCCCATGCGCGTTCGAACGGATGCTCGTGCATGTGCAGGCGTGTGTGCGCGTGTGTGTGTGTGTGCGTGTGTGTGTTTGTGTGTGTGTGTGTCTGTGTGTGTTGTATGTTCTGTGATGTGTGTGTGGCATGATGTGTGATGTGTGATGTGTGGATGTTGTGTGTTTGGTGCGTGTGGTGTGTATTATGTGCACTGTGTGTTATTTGTAATGTGTGTTGTGTGCGTTGTGCGTTTTGCGTTTTGCGTGTTGTGTGTGTGCGTGTGTGTGCGTGCGTGCGTGCGTGCGTGTGAGTGTGTGTGTGTTAGGGGGGGGAGGGGTGACTGTGTGTGTGTTTGTGTTTGTGTTTGAATGTTTGTACGCTTGTGTGGTCGCATGTTTGAGTTTCGGAGTGTTTGTATATTCAGTCTGCGTGTCTGTTCGTTAGTGTGCTTCTGTGTTTGAGTGTTCGTGCTGTTTTTGTTTGTGTGTGTTGGTGTGTGTGTGTTTGTGTGTTTGTCTTTCGTCTGTGCGTGTTTGTGTGTGTGTCTGTCTGTGTGTGCGTGTGTCTGTCTGTGCGTGTGTCTGTGTGTATGTCTGTGTGTGTGTGTCTGTGCGTCTGTGTGTGTGTCTGTCTGTGTGTGTGTGTTTGTGTACTTGAATCTGCGTGTGTGTCTGTGTTTCTGTGTGTGTGTGGCCTGGCCACCCCTGCTGCGCTGGTTCGTCATCGAAGACGACTTCCGACGGTCCTGGCACCCTCGATGGCATTTTGCCCGACCCCCATTTGGTGACGGCCGTGCCTCTCCGATGGCCCCCGGCGCTGCCCCCTTCGGCAGTTCGCACTGTCCCGCACAGTTGGTGAGTACACCAGCTCCCAGTGCCTGAGGCTGCCTCTTCCAAATTTCGTAATAAGAGGGAGTGGATCCCAACCTTCGAACCCCCCAGACGAGCAGTTTTAGACCTCCCCCAGACCGGCCACGAAAGGGCGGCCTTTTGCCCAGACACCCCCTGGAACCCGGAACCCTCCAAGACAGCTCCAATCAGATCCCCCCCAAATCCAAATTAGAACACCCCCCTTTTAATGTGGAATCCAGAGTGCGCGCTTCTCGTGGTGAAGGCAGCCTGAGTCCCCCCCCCCTTTCTCCTCTGCGGCCGCCTCTTCTTCCCCAATTGTCGCAGTGTGTCTGTAGCCCGGCGCAACCCGTCGGCTATTCCAACGCGCTGGCGTCCGCTCTCGCCGCTGACGAGACAAGCTTCTGTGCTTGTGCGTGTGCGTGTGTACGCGGGTGCGTATGTGTCTGTGTCAGTGTCTGTGCATGGGGATCGCGACCCGCGACATGATTCGCTGCCTATGGGAACAAGTGCAAGTGTGTTTGTACGGACGAAGAGTCTGTTTGGCCTCCGCTGGTTGGCGTTCACATTGTGTGGGCGAACATTTCGATTTGCTTGTTTTCACAATTTCTGCAATTTACCCACGTCTGGAAATAGTTGCTCGCCAGTGGAAACGTGCTTGTGGGTTGCGCGTGTTGCTGTAACGAACCATGGTTTTTGGCCATGGTGTTGTTTCGAAGTATGGGGATATCAAAGATCAACATATCTAATCCGTCTATGCAGGGACTACCTTCGTTTTATCAGCACTTAGTAGTCGGACGTGGGTCATGATTCCCCAGTTCCAAACCCCAGGCTAATATGATTCTTGATTTGAAAGACGGCACCTGCTACGGGATTGTTTGCGTTATGGTTAGAGGGCGTTGTTGTGTGCTCCCACCCGCCAGAAGCCCGCCCACATGGCCATGCGCTCGTTGGTTGCGCTCGCGCTCTTAGATTATTACCCCAGTGCGACCCTACCTAGAAGTTGGAGCCCCTCGGAAAGCAGCATTAGTTGCTATGGTATGCCATGCCATGCCATGCCATGCTATGCTGCTCTATGATATGTTTTGCTATGCTATGCTGCGCTATGATATGCTATGCTAAGCTATGCTATGTCATGCTGCGCTGTGCTGTGCTAAGCTATGACATGCTGTGCTATGCTAAACTGCGCTATGTTATACTATGCTATGATATGCTATGCCATGCTATGCCATGCTATGCTGCGCTATGCTATGCGATGCTATGCTCGGCTATGTTATGCTGTGCTATACTATGCTAATGCAGCGCTGCGCTATGCTAAGCTAAGCTAAGCTGAGCTAAGCTAACCCTCTAGGCAGAGCCTAGCTAGGGAAGTACACCCATGCTATATCTACCAATGTAGATGCTGCGCTATGCTATGCTATGCTATGATATGCTATGCTATGCTATGCAATGCTATACTGCGCTATGCTATGCTATGCTGGGCTATGCTATGATATGCTGTGCTGCGCTATGCTATGCTGCGCTATGCTGTGCTGTGCTCTGCTATACTAAAGCTCAGCGAAGCTAAGATGAAGGCAAGCTAAGGTAAGATAAGCCTGAGCTAAGATAAAGCTAAGCTAAGCTAAGATGAAATAAGCTAAGCTAAGATGGGATAAGCAACGCTAAGCTAAGGGGAAGCAACTGGGGGAACCGCGGGGCGGATCCTGGGGGAACCGCCCGGGGCGCATTACACTGCCTGGCCTTTTAAGCACAGAGAGTAAGAACCCTTCTAGGCAGAGCCTAGGTAGGGAAAAATGCTGGACTTAGATATGTTCAGGCTCTGCTTTGAGATGTCTCGGGAGTTCTGTGGTACATTCCCCCAGATTTCATCGGATCGGGGATTTCGATTCCACCCATTGGTCCAGTCATCCCCACGTCCGTCGAGGTGGACAAGGCAGGATGGGAAGGTGAGGGGAAGAGTGGACTGGTTGGGTGTAACGAGGGCTCCCCGCCGTATTTCCATACCATCCTGAGGGCGTTCCCGCACGATTTCCCCACGTATGTCAGGGATCTCCATGATACTCCGTTGCCAACGATCTGCCTTAATAGTCAGCTCATCTCTCTTGCGTACCATCGCATCGCAGTCGAAACAGCCGAGCATCTGATGGAGTACCACCAGTAGTCCCACTGCTAACGCTCTCGCTGGAACCGCCGCGCCTGCTACTGTTGCTCGTGCTGCCACCAGCTCTCGCTATCTGGGGCGCTCTGCTGGGAAATGTTTGGAACAGTTCCTTCATGTTCCCTCGCAACGAGCCAGGGTCCTACCTCATTCTTCCAGCATGCTCCATGCTCTCTGTACCCTCGCTCCCCCTTGTTCCTCCATCCTCTCTTCCTCCCACAGCTCTCATGCTAGCGGGCCAGACTGCGACGAGAATAAAGATTCGCCCTTGCACCTTTCAGAGTTCACGCAGGGAGCTGCCCACCCCCAGGCTAGATGCAAATCCTGCGCGCCCAGCTTGTCGTCGTATTGCAAGACTGCTGCCCTTCAGCGTCTCTTTCGCGCCCCCCCTCTCTCTCCTTCGAGGGAGGTCCGCGATGCCTCTCCGAGCTGAGGATAGGGGATTTCTGGAGCTAGAGGGGGGACCACACCACCAGGGGGACTCCTCCCTGGCTCCTCCCGCTGGTGCTTCCTGGTGCTGTTAGTGTCGCTGTTCCATGTTCCTAACTCTCATCTCTTCCTCCCCCGGTGCAGGTGCGGATCACGATCGCCCGCGTCGCGGTCGCCTCGCGCCGCCTCCGCAGCAGATGCGCGGCCCTCGACGCGCTCGAGCGGCTTCGCCTCGCCGCGGCGGGCGCAGCGGCCGCGGGGGGCGGCGCGGAGGACTGGTCGCTTCTGGCGGCGGCCGGCTCGGGCAGAGGGAGGAGGATTAAGGAGACTGGGGGCGCCGCCGGGCCAGAGGGTTCTGGAACGCTCCGAGAAGGCCGCGGCGCCCGAGAAATCTTCCAGAGCCGCCCTGATCTCAGAGAATCTATCCTTCCCGATTTTGTCCACGTCCTGGCTTCGTCGTAGCTCAACGCGGAAGCGATCCTCCCTTGGCATAGGCTAGACTTGGGTTTAACGGCAGGTTCAGGCCACGCCGACCTTTATGACCCGCTTCATGACCTCGGCCTCCTTCGTGAAAGCCGCGGTTCGTCCGATTCTTCTTCAGGATGTTCTTGCACAGCAGCGCCGGGGAAGACTTGGCCAGATGCTACCGTCTGGACGGCTGCCGCTCGGTACCCTCGAGTTGCTCTCGCAACGAAAAATGGCGAGTGATGCAAATGCCGCGAGGCCGCGTGTAGCGCGCCAACGGCTCGCACTCGACCGCACGGCCACGAATATCCTCGACTATGTCCTGCCAGCTCGCCTGCTGCACCGCCGTCGGCGCTTCGACGAACAGCTTCGTGTACTCGTGGAACGACTTGATGTCCGTCTCGGCCAGCCGCTCCTGAAGCACTGCGAGGAGGGCGCACGCCTCGGCGAGCTCCTTCTCTGCCGACTCCGCCTCGGCGCCCCCGTTGACGACTTTGATCGCGCAGAGTCCCTCGCCGCCGAGGCCTCCAGAAGGGAGTCGAGGAGCTCCTGGACCTGGGCCTTCTTGGAGGGAGGCCTCCCCGCCCGTGGTGCTCTTGAAGTCCGCGTCGGACGCCTCGGGCACCTCAGGCTCCTGCTGCTCCTGGCTCCTGTTATCGTTGATGCTGTCGTCCAGCACTTGCTCAGCCAGCTCCTGCTCCTGGACCTCCTGGGAATGCTGATCGAACTCCCCGCCCGAGATGCCGTCGCCGCAGCTCCGCACCTTTTCGGCGGCTGTCCGCGGCCATGGCCTCCTCCGCGTAGAACTTCTGGTCCTTGGTGCGATGGCTGCCTTCGTTCGCCACTTCCATGGCGGCCAGCAGCTCCTCGACGTCCGCACCCCGCGGCGCGGGATGCGATCCTGCACCCGGCACGAACGGCGGAGCCTCCGCGCGGAAGGCTGACGGGCCGAGCGCGTGAGCAGGCGCACGGGTGGGCGCCCTGCCCGTCCTGACGGCCGCCGCTCGGACCTGGACCACGCGTGGCCCTTTGCGCCATGCCGCCGCCGTCCTCGGGCTCCAGCCTGCGGGCCTCCGGGGAGGCGCGGCCCGCACTCCGCGCGGCGCCGCTCCCGAGACCGCGCAGCCGCCGCGGGGCAGCGCTCAGCACGCTGCGCGACGTCCCGCCGCAGGCGCTGCCCCCGGGGGTCTCGCGACACCCGCGGGCGCGCTCCGCCAGGGCGGGCCGCGCGATGGCCTCTCGGCGAAGGGCCTCGGCCTCCGTTTCGCCCCCCTGCGTGCCGCACGCCAGCTGCGTGCGAAGGCTGGCGATGTGAGGAGGAGGAGGAAGAGGAGGCGGAGGAGGAGGAGGAGGAGGAGGAGGAGGAGGAGGAGGAGGATGAGGACGAGAGGGAGGAGGAGAAGGAGGAGGAGGAGGAGGAGGAAGTGACTGCCCCGAGCTACCCCGACATCGCCGCACGCTTCGCCACTTGACGTTTGCTTTCGCTTCTCCCCTGCTCCCGTTATCATAGCCCTTGTGTTTGCATGCGCGGTTGTTGTTATTGTAGTTTCGTTTGGTCGTTCTAACCACATGGACGGTTGACCTCCTTCACTTTCTCCTTCATTGCAGGTAGAGGTGGAGGAGGAGGTGGAGGATACTGAAACCATGGGGGACTCGTTATGACACAACCGCCCTTGCCCTCAGCAACTCCAACGTCATCATATTCTGCCGACGTACCCCCGTGCCAGCGTATTAGCTAAACAGGAAGGAGGTCCAGGTTAGGACCCGCTCCAGTTCAGTGCATTGTTTGAAGTGGCGCGGGCCTTTAAAACCCCGCATTTGCCGCAACCTTTTATTCCTCTTTGCTCCTCATCCGTAGCCATATTGCCATATTAGCTCAAGACTTCTTGCTTGGTGGGCTCCGCCCACTGGCAAGCGTGGATACTGCTCTTTCCGCGACTCGCCCTGCGTCCTACACCAGCGTATGGGATGGTGAGTTCCTGTATGAGTTTGTCCATTCACGCGCTGATTGCACATGGTCAGCAATTGGCGCAAGGACAGGCAGCAGCGATCAATCGCATGCAAGGCGTGCAAATTTCATGTGGCGTTGCTCGGCAAGGTGCATCGCTTCTCCTGTCGGGCCCCTTTGGCGCCGTCGGGCCGCCAGGCCGCCAGGGGAAGTTTGGGCTGACAGAGGCGCCGCAGGGAACCAACCGTGGCGAGCTCGGCTACGGAGGCAGGAACGGCAATAACGACAAAGACAATGGCGTCGCTGCGTCGGAGAAGGCAAGTCCCAACATGGCCACCTTAGACTTCAGCCCCCCGCCTTCGACGAGCTCGAAGCTTCTGCCCAAGAGCGATTTCGCGAAATGGTCGCAGATGGCCAAGCCACCATGGAAGACACTCAAACACTACAACTCGAAGGTAGACGTCCTTACCGCCCAGGAGCCACAGCTCCTTGCAGGAGGCCCGCGACAAAAAGGAAACTCAAGAAGGCCGAAAGGAAACCATCGGAAGCTATCCTGGATGGATGCTCCTGTCGCCGGCGTGCCGACGGCCACCAGGTCGTCACGCAGGCCAGCCACGAACTTGCCGTAGCAAAAAGGCGGATATGCAACTTTGCCCGGGAAGCAGCAGTCGACAAGCAGCCAGGAGGCCCACCTTTGAACGCACAGCACAGGCCCGTTTTGCAAGCGCACCTGGCTGGCTGCAAAGTAAGTGCTCCATTCTTTATGCCAGCCAAGACTGATCAGTGCTCCGCCGGCCAACCATAGCCTGCCAAGTGGAGGAATTTGCCCAAGCTGACAGCATTGCATTTAGCATACCTCCGCGTGTGATCGCGGCGGCGTAATTGCACGCTGTGCTCGGGGTCGTTGTAGGGGCATCCCAAATCAGGAGATCGCAGACAGTGCTCGCTGTCCTTGCAGACGACATGTACCTCCTGAGCGAACTATCAGAAGAAACCCCGAATATCTTTGTCAGCAATCAGTCCACATGTGAATGGATATCAAGATCCGCCTGCTGAGACTAATGCAGCTCGTCACGCTACTCGTGCGGGGGTAAAATCATGCTCGTCGTCCGCGGCGAAGTCGCACGCGGCGTCTGGCGCAACTTGCGCAAACGAAATTGCTGGTCCCAAGCTTTCGAGAACGTCAACACTGGCGCACCATCTCACCTCTGACAGCCATGTCTTCCGCCCATCTCACCTGTGACAGCTATGTCTTCTCGCTCCCGCTCCTCCACACACGGAGGAGCGGCACGTCGCCGCTCAAGGTCATAAGTCTCGACGCTACGAATATCTTCCAGAGATTTATTCTAGGTCATGGAAGACAAATGCTGGGAAGGCTTGTCTAAGGGGGTTGTCCGGCGAGGTTGTCCAGGCTCCCGTTGGGTTGCCCAAGGGGATGCCTGGGCAGGCAGTCCTGTCATCAGTAATCAGCCTGGGTTGTCCAGGTTGTCCGAGGGGTTGTCCTGGGAATTGCTTGATTTGACTACAGGTTCAAAGGAACGTTTACTTTTCAAAGGGGGCTAGGTCGTTCCTTTGGTTTGCGTGCGTTCTGCTACCTTTTTGGCTGGGTTCGTTTTGTCGATGAGGGCGGCTGGTCTAAGGAACGGGGCTCCAAGAGGGACTCGGTTCCTTGCGCTTGCTCGACGTAGTGCGACGGCGGTCGCGCACAAGCCCGGCGCCTCTCACGGGCCCCCCCGTTCCTTGCGGGTCGGCGGGGCGCGCGTTGGAGCTTTCGCTTTCGTTTGGGTGCCAAGGTAGGGGCATTAAGGTCCAATTCCTCGCTGGAACACCTCCCGTTCCTTAGGCCGCGCGATTCGGAGTTCACTGGCTCGACGTTATGCAACGGCGGTCGCGTTAAGGTCCCGTTCATCTCTCGGGTCCCCCCGTTTCTTAGGCCGCGCGGTTCGGAGCTCGCTGGCCCGAGGAGGAGGGGGAGGAGGAGGAGGGGGAGGAGGAGGAGAAGGAGGAGCAGGAGGAAGAGGAGGAGGAAGAGGAGGAGGAGGAGGAGAAAGAGGAGGAGGGGGAGGAGGGGGAGGAACAGGAAGAGGAGGAAGAGGAGGAAGAGGAGGAGGAGGAGGAGGAAGAGGAATAATCATAATAATAAGGATAATAATAATAAGAGGAGGAGGAGAGGAAGGAGGAGGAGAAAGTCGAGGATCAGAGTAATGATGATGACGTTGGTGATCATGATGATGACGATGGTGATCATGATGGTGACAATGATGATGAAGATGAGGATGGAGATGATGATGTCGACGAGTTTGTTGATGCTAGCGATGATGGTGCTGGCGTCCCAAATACGAGTGCAACATTTTTCCCTCGCACGGTTTTCGGGGTGACGCATGACCCGCGTGTTTTTTTTCACATTGTGTGACCCCATGTTGGCGCCCATGTTGCGGAACGCCGCTAGAAATGGGCTCGGCCGTTTCTTCGGACTTCGTGGACTTATTTGGAAAACAAGGGGCTTCGTTCTTTATTTATCGTTCCTTAGGTCAGGCGGGATCCTGTACTCTTCCATTGAACATAATACATCCCGCGGCCTCGCGCGATGACTGGGCCTGGACATGCAGACGCTCCCAGGATACTACGAGAAAGGCCGGCCCTGCGCGAGCGGAGAGCCCGACACCAGATGCTGGGCTGGCGCGCGCCTGATGCCCGCTGACTGGGGCGCGGGCGACGTGGCCCTGACGTTCGCAGCTCTGGGCGGCAACGCAAGTCAAATTCGGAGGGGCGCCAGCAATGCGCCACTATACCCGTCCAGAGCCCAGGATGGTCCTGGCCAGGGCTGGGGATGGCGCATTGCTTGGAGCCCTCCTACACATGGCCATGGAAGCAGCCGGGGTCTGGCGTGCGCCAGTTGCCCGCTGACTGGGGCGCGGTCGACATGACATGGCCTGAGGTTTTGGCAGCGTTCGGACGCGTGCATTTCTTTCCGACGGGCGCCATCGAGGAGCATGTTGGATCAATTTCCGGAAAAAGAAACGCGCGAAATCGGAAAATGCACGGATAATTTGACGCACGAACGATGGCGAGAGCAGGGTCAGCACCAACGGCGGTCAGCCAGAGCGCCAGATCCTGCGAGATTTTGCACAGCTGCGTTTCGGGGGTGCCGCTGCGTTTCAATAGATCATGGCAGACCCCTTTCGCGGAGTCGCTCGCAGGCGGTCTGGCGAGTAGGGCGGGGGGCCGGGGGGGAGGCCTCCCGTGATGGGGGAAGAAGGAGGATGGAAGCAAGAGTCCGCGGAGCCACCTGCACCCAAAGCGACAGCGGGGCTGCCCCCGCTGCTCCCCCATGCAGGCCCGAGAGCCTGCACGCCAGAGTTTTGGGCCCCTTTCGCGCCCAGGGCCTTCACCTGCTGAGTTCGCTTTCGACGGTGGTGCTTTCGAAAGCGCCGCGCTGCAGTGTCTCTTGGGCCGTATTGCGGCGGCCTGGGGGCCTCTCGGGCCGCGCGGGGACGCCGGGAAGCGGGAAAGGCAAGAAAGCCAAAAAACTTCAAAACCTAAGGAATATCAAGGAGTCTCGCCTCCTGGAGCCCTTTGGGGAGGCCTCTTGGAGATCGCCCCCGCGACTCATGCCTGATCCCCAAATCCCCCCGACCAGATTTCTTTTCTTCCTTCCTCAGGGGGCCCACCTTCGCGGCGACCCGTTAAACCCAGGACCTTTGGCGGCGCATGAATTTTGTCCCTTCTTCCGCGCGCGCATTACCACTGGAGCCCCTGAGCCCTTCCGGCTAGAGTATACCCAGTACATGAATACAATTGGTACCATCATGTGCTAGCGCGCAGCTGCTAGAGTGCACCTGGTCCTGCAGTACAGCTAGTCTTATCGAGTTGCGATTGAGGCATCCGAGGAAACAGTATACATTCGTGGCAGATGAATAAAGAAACACTCGTTATATGATCGCAGCGTGGGAGTGCGGAAGCACAATCTGATCGCGATTAAGGAATACGGAAACAATAGAAACTGCCGATTTTGGAATGAGGGCACACTGTAGCGTGCAACTAATACTAGTACAGTTTCCTAGTCTTACTGCGAGAGTAATGCTGCATTACATTTACAATCTGGGCTCTCGCGCTTCTCCTCCTCCGGTTGCGCTGGGGGGTCCCGCGCGCCAGCGCCCCCGCGGCTGAGAGTTCATTCCTCTTCTGGAATTTTAGGCAGGGTTAACTCCTGTGCCCGAACCCTTCGCCGAGGATTTCTTTTTTTCTTCCGTGGAAACCGGGCCCCCTGGGTTCCTCGGCGCGCCCC